GAGAGAGAGTCCATCAACCTCTTTGTTTTTGTTGGCTAGCATTCCTCCTTTATTGCAGGTGTAGCCGCAACAGGTCCCCTAGCGATTCAATAAGGAATGCTGAGGTGACCCTTATCCAAAAGTCGTTTGCATCGCAACTCTACAACCTTCTTTTTTTCTTTGTTGATTTTGTGCTGGAGGTGTCTGGGACTCTGTTCGGGGTTCCTGCCAGCCATGCCTGGGGGCATGGAAAGTTAACCTAGAATGGCGGGCTATTTTCCAGATGTTTGTGTGAAGTGTCCCATTTTCAGACTCTTCAGAAGAAATGGGATGTTAAACTAGACTGCTCATTGCAGTTGGGACTGTTGCGTCCAGGTCTAGAACCTTAAGATACTGGATGGATATGGCCTATAGAATCTAAATCTTTATCCATAGTATTTTTCTATACCATGTTCCTAAAGCTATCGAATATCTGTTACTGAACGCTAGGCCGCACTTGTGCTGTGTTCGCTGCTCAAGGACAATTTTACAGCCACGTTTGTCACTTTTACAGCCATGTTTGTCATTTCTAAGCGCGAATGCCACGAACGTAGTGTCAGTGGGGCCTGACAGTTGATCATTTGACTGCTTGTGCGGAATCCCCCTGAGGAGACGTCGTGCCCAAGTCCCGAAACTTGTTGTTTAGGTGTGCTTGTAAGTCATTGCATGTACTTGGATGAGGAGTGTTGGGTTGTGTCAATTCCACTAGATTGTGTGAATGTCTTCTGCGATGCCTTGATGGTTAACCATTCGCTCGTCATCAAATGCAGTGAATCGAGAAGCTCAATGTGACACTTCATCACTTTGGTGTGGAATGTTTGTGTATGTGGGGGTGTTTGGGTGGGTTGTTGTTTAGGTTATGTCCATCCTTCACGAAGCTAACAAACCGGAGTTGGTTCCTTATATGGAGTTTTACAGCCAAACTATCAGTGAGCGTGCAGATCTATTGGTAAGTCAAGGGGAGGCATGCGGCTTCTTCCCCTTCAACTTTTCAAATGCTATTGCTGGGTGTTTCCACCTTGATCGTGTGGGGTTCTCACGGCCCAGATTCATTCTGGATGACACTACGTCGTGAATTTTCTGGTCACATAGCTCAGGTGAAGATTCAAGGCTATCAGGCAGGAGTCCATGTCTTCGCACAAGCTGGGTCTCTTTTGCTCAATTCATGTCTGGATTGGTCTGGATGTGGATTGACGTGATCAATATCAATTAACCCGCCAGATGCTTGCTCTCTGCAGGGAC